TTGTTTCCCTCTTTCCATCTTTTTAACGGTGGTTGTCTGCCTGCCCCTTTCTTGGTCTGTCCATTAACGTCATCCTAACGCTGTAACGCGCAGAGCAGAACTGAAGAGCTACCTGCTGCCTACCTCTCCCTTGTGGAAAGCTTGGTTGAATTGCAAGTGGGTTTTAGAAGATGGAATTTGTGAGAGGTGACTGATGCTATAGCTAATATGCCAGAAGCAATAGAAATTGTTATGCAAGCCAGCAGTTATGCAGGCAATTAGAAACCTTTAATTGACTCTTACTGAAATGCTGTCTGTAAAACACTTTGATAATGTTTCTCAGATGACTGTAAGTGATTTTTGTCCTTTAGATCAAGGGGACAGGCATCCAAACCGCAAAGCGAGGGGACAGCTGAGGACAAAGATAGAGTCTGGGGAAGGGACCATCCCCGTGCGCTCCACTACCACTATCCAGACGTGGGACGGCGTGTTGCAGGGGGAAAGGCTGCTCACCATGTCCTGCAGCGACAAGATCGCCAGGTGAGAGAGCCAACCATTGCTTCCTGGGCTACTGCTTTGTACTGCTGAACAACAAGGGAGGGTTCCACCATACCTGCAGTGAACGTGGAGGTTGTTTGGTTTGCTTCATTGCTTAGACGTAGTGTGGGGGTGGCTGTAAGTCCAGCGGTAAAGCTGAAGCTTCACCTGCAGTTGGTGTCAGACCTTCTGCAGGCTTCAGAGGCAAGGTGAAATAATTGTTTATTGTTCCAGCCAGTTCAAGTCACTAAAGCTTTGTTTTGTATTTATATCACTTGGAAATAGCATAGGTGCTCCTTCCTTTTATTTTTTTTTCCCCACTTCCCCTGCCTTCCCTTCCCTTCCCTTAAAGCACTACAGTATTAGCCAAACAGTGCAAAAAATATACTGCATTAGTTAAATTTGGATAACTTCCTCTGATGTTATACATCCTTGCCTTGTCATTGGAAATGTTCAAAGTCAGGTTGGACAGGGCTCTGAGCAACCTGCTCTAGTTGCAGATGTCCCTGTTTACTGCTGGGGGGTTGGACCAGATCACCTTTAAATGTCCCAAGCCAAATCAGTTGGATTCTATGATATCAAAGATACGTACATGTTCCATGTTCCATGGATAGATTTAGATTTGTATTGTTTTATACAGGGGAAAAGTGTTGCAGTTTAAAAAAAAAAATCTTAATTTAATTTCTGGTTTTTAACTTTAAAATAGTTTTATTTTTTGTTCAAATATTTTTACTGTAATTAAATACTTTGTTTCCTACAATTTTATTTACATCTTATCTGATTCCTTCTTTGTTCTCCTATTTGACAAAGAATTAAAGGCTATTTTTTTTTTCTAAATCATGAATGGTCAAATGATAACCCCCCAAAAAAACTGAGCAGCAGTATCCTTGAACAAGTATCAGAAGTATGGGGCAGTTGCAACATAAAATGAGTCTGTGTGTTTGCAGCCTCTGTGTTCTTGCAAAATAGATGAGAAATGCCAAGTTTTTCAGCTGATGATATTTTAGTTATTTTTTTAAAATAGCTCTACTGTTTTGTCGTGTTATAGTTATCCAGATGCAAAACTTATTAAGTATATTGAGTTGGAACTATTCTTGTGTGCTGCGTATGCCAGATACAGGAGGAAGGTGATGTAATTGCTTTGTTCCTCTAGATTTGTCTATTGTAATCAGCCTCTCTGCTGAAGGAAGATGTTTTACTTCAGTTTAAATCCCCCTAACATAAATGGAGAGGGCCTTTCAGAAGCTAGGATAGTGGGTTGGGGAGAGGTAATTCTACAAAAATGACATTTCAGTTTCTTTTATAAAGTTTTTGATAAAATTCACCAAATAAATTCCCCAGTTGCATGTGAGGGACTTCTCCCAGCCTCCCAACATGGTAATTGCGCCACATTCATTTGACTTCTTTTATCACTTTGGCATTGCTGTTAGTGCAAATAAAAAAAAATTAAGCTTTGTTGAGCTAGAACACATTTGATTGTTTTGTTGATTTTGTGTGATGCAGAACAGAATCCATCTCTTGCTTGCGTAGCTAGCTGTCACCTCTCCTTGGGGCTAATGGGAATAATTTTGTTTGTGCCAGTGAAGGAAGCAAATAGAACCCCTTGACACAGAACAAAGACTGTATGACGGGTAAGGAGGCCCAAATTTTCATATTCTTTTTTTTTTTCTTTTTTTTTTTTTTAAACATTTCCCTGACACTTATGACCGTGTTTTGTCCATTTACATTTGAAAGAATGCATTGCTCTGTAGTGTCCAGTAAGCCTGAGCCCTATGAGTTTCCACTGAGCTTTCCCAAAGGTTCAGAGTCTCATCCTGGAAAAGATGTACATAAATTCAGGGTGCAGGATTACACAAACAGGGAAACTCCCTGTATCTCAGCAACCTCATCTGTGTGGATGATCTATGTAATCAAAGCTGTTAATTCCAGCCTATGAGCACTTGGCTGCAGTATGCTCTCTAGCACTCTCCTGAGCCTGGTAGGAACTTCAGAAAAAATTTGTGAAAAACATGGAAAAGCCATGAGTGTAATCCTGTTTGGGTCAGAAGCATTAGAACAGGATTATCCTAGTGTTAATGGTGTTAGGGTGGTTTTTGTGACCAGAGTTACTGTTTATGGACTTTAATATACATGCATTTGTTTTCAATGTATCCTGACCTTACTGCATGGTGTGTTATGATGTCTATTTTTGTCATCCTCATTTTGATGTGTTTTTCCATCCACATCAATTTTAAGCTTTTTGGCTTCAAATAACCACTTGTCATGAAACATTCCAGTTGTAGCTAATGTCTTGCTCAGAAGAGCAAAATTTTTTTCCACCCCATTTCATTGGTTTGAAAAGTGTAAGAATTAAGAAGAGCTATGACATTAAGTCAAGTTATTAAAGGGGAATTCATCAGTGCTCTTCTACTCTAAAAAAAAGGAAAATATTATTTCTGATACTCTTTTGTGTGAAAGAACTTGCCTGCCATGGCCTTGTTTTGTGCTTTCCAGAGTGGAAAATCCAAATGGAAATTTGTAACTCGGTCTTTATTTCCCCAATGGCTTTGGCTTCTTGACCTTACCACCTAGTTTTCTGAGACTGATGAAGTTCCTTGGACACATCTTAAAATTCTACAGTCATAGGAAACCACTACCCAAGATGTAGCATCAAAGTAACAAGATGTGGCATCCTGTAACCTCTCAAACCAGTAACTTGAGTCTTGACTCAAATCCACAAGTCAGATCTGTGTGGTTGCCAACCTGGGTACAGCTACAAGGGAAGACAGATTCACTTCTCTGTGATTGTGTATCTGACCTCAGGATAAATAAATAAAAACATGTTTGTGAGAACTGGTGCTGTGAAAGACTGTGGCTTCTTGCACTTACGGATTTATAGTGTAGGCCTCTGATCAAGCCACTTGCTGTAAAAGAAGCTCTGACAACATATATGTTGATACCTGATTATGCTGTGGCTTCATGAATGGCATGGGCTGGTCTTAGAGATTCAGTTAATCTCTTAAGGAAACAAAAAGAAATTTGATTTAAAATCAGAAAGGAAACCAGCTTACAGTTAGCCGAATGAAGTCAGCTCTGTCTGTTTGTTCTGCCAGGTGATGAGAGTAAAGTCCAAATAGATGGATGTCCACAGCAAGCAGACGAGGGTCTGAGTCTTCTCAGCAGAAGTCTCCCTGCACATGATTGAGGAAGCACAGCGAACGTGGTTGCAAAGACACAAAAATGCTTGTCACCGAGCTATAGAGGTGAAGGCCACCACAGGGCTCTGCAGGCATCCCCGGGGATGCTGCTGGGGGGGCGCACAGCTCAGATGGCAGCTGTCTTGGGGAGTAATCCCAAAGACAGGCTTGGCTTACCATGGCAGCAGCAAGGTATCAAGTTCTTTTGTGTTGCAGCGCACACCAAGAGCTCTCCGTGACTGCTGTGCGTCCAAGAGGTGGGGCAACTTGTGTCTTCCCCCAAAGCCGCTGGGAGCCGCAGGCGCACGGGTCCCGCTAGCTCTGAGCAGAAGGCACTCCTGCTCTCAGTAACTGCCTGTGGGTTCTCCTGCATGGCTGTTGTTCCCTAGCTGCTGTCTGAGCTGGGTGTCTCCATCGGGGAGGAGGGCAGGAGATGCCTGTGAGGAGGCAAGATGCTCCTGGGGGTAGTCCGACACCACCTCACATGTTTACACCTTCTCTCCCTTGCCATCAGTTGCAAGTAAAAGACTGTCATAAACAAAATGCCTACTAAATAATTTTCCTTTTTTCATAGTCATTGCTGTTTATAAATTATATTAACAAGAGTAGCTCTTTGAAATTTAAGCACTTGATTTTTTCAGCCTTTGCAGCCTCCTCATTGTAGCTGTTGCAGGAGACTGTTCGTTTTCCTGTGATGAGCCCTGACACCAGTTCCTGGTGCACGCCACTGTACATGCAACACGTGGTGACTCCTTCCAAACTGCCATCTGCATAGAAATTATTGAGAGTGACACTAAGAGGTTTGATATTCACATCAAGTTTTATTGCTTACTGTTGTAGGCTCCCCTTGTTTCTGTGTTTTCTCTAAAATAATGCAAATAACAGAATCTCTATGCAGTTTGGGTTTGGAAAGTTCAAAGGAGATTCTTTACTTGATGCGTATATTTTTAACCTGTTTTTTTTTGTCAGGAGGTGTGCTAGCACACTCACTGAAAGTGCTGCTACAGAGTTCAATTTTACTTACCTCATCCTGTATCAAGAGTTGTGAAATCAAATATACGTCATGAAGAAATCAATAGATCTTTTAGGAATCCACTGCAGATACCCTTGCCTCTGAGCACATACTGGTCTAAAGCAGAAAAGTGGCAGCACAGCAAGGAAGAGAGAAATCCTCTTGATTTAGTGGTCAGTCTGGTTTCTCTGCCCTCTTTTTTTCAAATGCAGTCTGGTTGAGAACAGCACAAAGACTGAGAAAGTGTATCCATCCTCCAGGGTGTTATCAATAGGATCTAAATGGTGAATTTAGAATAGGAAACTGGTGAGTATAATAAATCTGTAAAATTCAGATTTCTCCAATCTGGTGCTGAAGTGCTGGGGTTAAACCCCCAGCCCTGAATGAGGGTTGGCATATGGATGATGTCCACAACCAGGCAAGATAGACCCCTCTGATTGATTTTCACCCAGGGTCTGGCCAGCCTTGGGTGGGAACTGATTAGGAGATCACCACCACGTGCCACCACCTTCCACATTAACTCAGAGGTGGGCCAAGAATAAGAGCTGACTCTGCTTGCAGGGGAGTTGGGGGGTTTGCCCACACAGTTTGTGTGGGTTCATGGTTATTGAAAGGGCTCACCAGCTCTTTATAGCAACTGAAGTTCCCAGGATGGTGGGGCAAGATTATGAGTCTGTCTCTGGGAAACTACTACATAACTGGACTCATTGCCTGGCTGTTTCCATCTCCCATGGCATGGTTCCTGCCTCAGCTTGCTCCCTTCCTCACACATTATGCAGTGACTGAGTGCACTGACTTGTTCTTCCCTCTAGTTG